AAGCAAATACCCATTCACCCAGACTTTGGGAAATACTTTGGCTTCAAGTGGGAGAATCAGTATTATTTCTACAAATGATTAGCTTTTGGATGCCAGACCAGCCCATGTATATTCAACATGCTTTCTCAGGCACTAGTGTGGGTTGCTGAGAATAAGTATGGCATCAAGAGCATTTTGTGGTTACTGGATGATTTTCTTACCATAGACACTCCAGACTATGATGTGGAAAGGATTATGGCACTTCCATCTCTCATTCTCAATCAATGTTGCGTGCCCCTAGCTCACCATAAAACAGTTGGACCCTTACTCAAACTGGAATACCTTGGTATTATGCTAAACACTGTAAAAATGGATGAATGCCTATCAAAACAAGATAGAACGTATTTGTGAATTTATTCAAGAATTCCTGGGAAAGACTACATGTAAGAAGATAGATTTGTTGTCACTGTTAGAACATCTCAACTTTGCCAGTTAAGTAATGTAATTCTAAAGCCTGTAAAAGGCGCCCAGTGACAGTAGAACTATAAAAAATAGTTGACAAAAGGTCTGATGTTTTACTGCGGTGCTTTGTGTTATGTTCTCGTCTCCCTGGGCAGTATTCTTTTGTCTTTATGTTCTAGGAGACTCCTGACCAGGTTACCAATTCTAATTATAGATAAAGCACAAAGAGCGAAGTTGGATTCAAAGTTTATTTAACAAAAAACCAACAGGGCCAAAATCCTTCTCCACTTAACTTTAACCTACCTAATATTCCCCCTTCCCTACCTACGTAAACCAATTCAACCTCCTTAATTCAACTTGTTCTTCTTTACCACCCCACTATCTTAACTCACGAAAATAAAACATCTGTAAAACAAACCTATTCAATCGCTACTCTATTTTTCCCGGACCCATTTCTCCTAATCTAATATCCCAATGAAAGCCTTATAATAAATAATAAATGGTCCAGATTAAGGACACGGGAGCCGACTATATCTTACCAGATACTGGTGAGCGACGACTGACGATTCCCTACCCAGGGTTGGCTTATAAAGCCAACATGCAGAACATGTGACCAGGAAAAAAGACGCAACCAATGAACACGCTCCTTAATTACATCTCGGCTCTCCCAATCATGTCTTACGCCTAGCCGAGCATGCAAGAATCATGGCATCGTCACGTCTTCCCAGCCACTACGCCCGCGTACAAAGATAGGTACTACGTCAGCCGTTCAACTCCCCCTTAAACTAACCCACCCACTACGTTCTTAAATATATCTATCTACCCACAATTATCCCCAGTCGACCACAGTAATCATTCCAGGTAGATCTTTTGTGTCCTCAGTGATTGATCTTTCAACAAAAGTATCAGAACCTTTTCATTTCATTCACATTAGCAAGGAATGTAAGAAAGACTTAGAAATGTAGAAACAATTCCTTTGTAACTGGAATGGAGTATCGTTCTTCCATGATCGTCACACTTACAGATGTTCACTGACTCATCATCAGTAAGGTTTGGGTGTATCTACGGATCACGATGGTTTGCAGAGGCTTGGCCTGCTGATCTCCCTTTAACACATACAACTGGCCTGTCCATGTCATTCCTTGAATTTTACCCTATAGTGGTAGCAGCCATCTTATGGGGGCATGAATGAAAGTGTAAACGCATTCTAATTCATTGTGACAACCTTTCTACAGTTGACATGATATGAAAAGAATGTTCCAAATGTACTAAGATTATGAAACTCTTGCATAGATGTGCTGCTATGCATAATTTCGTTGCACTTGCCCAACACCTACCTGGAGTGAATAACTGTATTGCAGACTCTCTCACGGTTGCAAGACGACAGATTCAGGAAGCTGTCACCTTATGCAGACAAGGAACAACATCCCTGCCCACCCATCAACCAAGTACTCTGGTACTAACGACTAGTCTAAATATGTTGTGGGAGGCAGCAGTAAGCCAACAGACAAGAGCTACATACACAACAGGATTCAAGGCTTTTATTCAGTTCCTCACCATGTTTCAGTTATACCTGCCAGCTGCAAAGAGACTACCCCAACTAAATGAAGATTTGCTCATGCAATTTGAGGCTTATTGTTTTGATATTCTCCATCTGAAGTACACTACAGTGAAAACCTACATAGCAGATGTCCAAGAGTGTGCATTGTGTGTTCGACCAATCTATCCTCGGTCATACCACTTTACTGAAAAGATACAAGAAGTTGCAATCATCTCCTACGTTAACAAGGCATCATATAACATACAACACTCTCAGGAATATGGTAGTAACATTGAGGAAAGGAGTGTTTGGATCATACAATGACCTGATGATGGTAACCATGTGAACTCGTACCTTTTTTGGATTCATGAGATATAGTGAATCCACTTGTGTAACTAGCTTTAATCCAGCAGTCAACATGCGATTCATGTCTGATATCACACAAGATCATAGTGTTCCTTGTGCAAATGTGATGTTGAAAGTGTCGAAAACTGATCCTTTTGAAAAAGGTGTCATGATCACTCTGTGTAGTACAGGTACACTCACTTGTCCTTATACTGCCTTAAAATATTCGGTACATGATCGACATGGCAGTGCTTTGCCATCACGCCCTCTGTTTGTCAACTTGGATGGGCAACATATCACCCGAACTAAATTTCTAGCCTACCTATGTTGTATTCTCATCAGAATTGGTATCAATGGTGACTTGTACAACACACATAGCTTCCGTCGTGGGGCTCCTTCCTTCTGCAGTGCTGCCCGGATAGAGGGGCACCTCATCCGAACTCTCGGACGATGGAATTCGGAATGTTTTCTCCAGTATATTGATGTATCATACTCCACATTGCAATCAGCTCAATGAGCTATGTGCATTTCAGAACACACTTCGCTATTCCATTTTGGGGGATTTTCATTCAGTATTTACATTCATTCTCTTGGGCCTCAAAACATTCTCCCACAGGAGAAACTGTTTCGGACCCCAAAATTTCCTTAAGTACCCGGTGTTCTAAGGTTGACCCTAGGACACATCCAGCGTGTTACCCACTTAGTCCCAGGGTCATTGGCAATCAGTCCCCCAAATTGCCCAATCCTGGATATACTTCAATAAAAAAAGATTTCCATGTTCTTTGTAATGTCATAGTTATGTCATTATTTGCACAAAAGGGCCAACTAGTACATTGACTCTTCTGAAGCATGCTTTGCAAACAAAACCTGATAACCCCTGAGCTTTCTTTTCTCTGCTTGCCATTTTCCGAGAGAGAAGTTTCTGCTCCAGTGACTATTTCTCTGGTTTGTAGACAAACACACATATTCTGAAAAAAGAACAGACAGGCCTGATGCAAGCCTTTTGGTGCACTTTACATATTAGTATGCATAATCATATAGATATGCTACTTCAACTGCAACAGTGAGGTGTATGACAATATATCTTCACACAAAGTGACCGTATCACAACCTCTCCAAAGGGCTTCAATGACAAAAAAATATGTGAATGGAAATAGTTTGTTATGCTTTCGGATATTTTCGCAATAAGAGTTATGAATTTCCTGACTAATGTTTATCTAAATGTGTTGAAAATCAAACATGAAAAACAAATGCAATATCTTGAACGGACTGTGTAAGATGTGATGATGTGAGAGAGCTACTTGGCTGGCCACAAGGAACTCTGGGTAAGAGATTGATTCGCTTCTTACGACCGAGGCATTTATATTGTAATCTAGGCTTGGATAAACACTGACTTCTAATCCAATCAAGCTGGCAATTTTTATTTTGTAACCTGTCCACAAGAAAAACCACAAGGTTTCTCTTTTATTTGTCTCTAATAAAAACATGACCGTAGCCAGTTATTCTGTGCATGCTTCGGTTGTTGTCTTCGCTGTGCGCAGCTCTATTGTTTTGGTTTCAGAATGAAATCTTCATGAATTAAAGGTGTGACATCACACTCAGAAATAATTTTATGCATGATTTTAAAAGCATTGCCAAAGTAAATGATTGATGAAATGTTTTGATTTGGTTTGCCACTGAAATTTTAGGGATGGAAGTTTAGGATTGGAGAAAACACGCTCACGAGGTTTTGGTAGACAGAGCATGCCCTGGGGAGAGGGAAAAACCAAGGGGGCGAAGCCCCCGCGGTTTTTCCCGACCCCCAGGGCATGCTTTGTCTACCAAAACCGAGGGAAAGTGTTTTTCCATACTTATAAACCGTCTAAATTGATTAAATGTTATAACGAGCATCTATAAATGAGGCGCTTCATTATAGCGCTTCCTTGAAGACCTGAGATCATAACTTGCACGTGAAATTCGCTGACTTGCCAGGCGGTCAAGAGCACTTGGATGTGTCAACAACAAAACACAACTAAAATACTTACTTTTAAATGAAAGTGAAATCTTCGGTCTCTAAATGTTTGTGTTGCAATATTCCACTTCTTTTAAACTTTTCAAAACGAAAATTCACAAATTTAAAAGGTGTCTTTTGCTTTACAAGATTTACGACTTTAAACAATCCAACTGTTACGCAGAGGTAGTTGTGACGTAAAAGCTAGCAGTTACTTCACATGCAAATTGTGCAGCATTGATAAGCACTTGTTTAAAAGCACATGTTTTGAAACCTCGCTGTCCTTTAACCAGAGACTCTGAAGTGGAAAGATGAGCGACGACGACTTTCATTTTGTTACCCAGTCTTCATTCACTGTACACATGACATTCAATTTTAATTGAATTAAAATTTTGAATTGCTACTTGTAGTCATTTTTTCAGTTACTTGGTTAAACCTGGGATTTGAGGTTTTACATTCAAAGTAAAACCTCCAGAACGAAAACAAAACCTCATAATAGGTTTTACTTTGAAACTTGTAAGAATTTAGAAGCCTTGACAGAGATTGGCTGATTATAGAAAGTTCAGGTGAGTTCAGAGTAATCTTAATGGTTTTAATGAGTTTGCTTTTAAATGGACTCATAATGACTTTACACAAGGCATGATCTTTCACATGCCATTATCACTGCATCTTTTTATTATCTAGATTTTTGATTGCGATGATCATGGATCTGATCGATGAACATAGCCAAATATGTACGAGTGGTGTTAAAGCTGATTCTACCTGGCTCTATGCTGTGCCTATTCTTCACTTTTTGAGAAAAGACTCTGTGCCATTTATCAAACCTCTTGAACACAACCATTATAACAAAGAATGGTGGGGACACAGAGAACTGCATGCAAAAGTAGAAAGACTGAAGACCTTTTGCTATTGGAGCAAGTAAGTATATTTTCATTGTTTTTGTACACCTGTCACATTCCAACACGACATGCATGCTTGAAAAATCACTAAAACATATTCTTTTTAAGGGACAGTTTGTCAACCATTTTGAACCATTGTTAGCAAACAATAGCCGATAACCCCTGAGCTAACTCAGCTCTGCTTGCCTTATTCCGCAAGAGAAGTTTCTACTCCAGTAACCACACTGCGGGTATATGCTTACCAGGAGATCAGACGTTTCTCTTGTTTGTGAGCAAACACACTTAATCTGAAATAACAGACAGGCCTAATGCAAGCCTTTCGATGGACATTACATATTGTTTTGCAAAATTACATAGATATACTTCTGCGACAATGAGGTGCATAACAATATAGCATTACAGCTCAAAGTGACTGTATTGCTAGCTCGCCGCAGGACTTCGATAACAGCACATGGAGCCATACAACCAATGAAAACAAAGGATAAATAAGCAAATGGAAATTGTTTTTGACATTTTTTTCTGAATGAAAGTTAAACATTTCATGAGATATGTTTATCTAAATGTATAGAATCTGGAGTGGAAGAGTGTTGAATCTAGGCTTTGATAAACACTGGCTTCTTATCTAATCCAGCTGCCTGCTGACAATTAGTATTTCATAACTTATCCATAAGCAAAAAACAGAAGGTTTCTCTTTTATTTGCTTCCAATGAAAATATGACCTAAGCCAGTTATTCTGCGCATCGCTTGGGTCAGAATAATATCGTGCATGAAGTAGAGTGTGATGTCACACTCCGAAAGTATTTCATGCATGATTCAAAAACATGCACACAGAACCATCAACATACTGGGCCTTTAATTTAACCTTCTGTACTTTTTACACTTGTCACTGTTGTGTTTTCAGTTCTCTAAAAACAGTCTGTACAGATTTGGAACATTTATTTGATGTGGACTTCTTACTGCCAAGGACTATCATGGGTTGTGTGTCTTTTCCCTTGTTGATGACAGCTGTTGAGCTGCAAAAGATTCCAGCTGAAGTTTCTAGTGCAACACTCTGCTTTTACAATTATGAAGTTTACACACATGAACTGGTATGTAAATCTCTATGTAAAAAATGCATCTGAATTAATCCTGTTTTCAGATGACAAGAACAAACCATGTCATCACAGTATGCCATTCGTAACCTGAATTCTTCAATAGTAAAAAGGAAGAATACATGACACTTCTTATGGATAACAATGTCCTTTATTCTTTGTCCTGACATTTCAGAGCTTCTTCTTGCTCCTTCAGGTGATTGCTGAGTAAGTGCATGGAGTAAACATACAAGAATCGTGTAATTCCTATTCTTTGAATGACATTGTTATATACTTGTTACAACTGCTGCTCACTAAAAAAATATGGGTTTTTTTATATTCAAGTTGGTATTTCCGCTGTCCAAAGTGTGCAGTGTGGCCTTTTTATTGTTGATAGTCAATTTGGAGACAAAAATTTGAAGTTTCATCAATTCGAACAAAGACTACTCACATTTTTCGCATTTAATTCATGTTCGCGTTAATTTCAAGATTTACAGTATACATATTTGGGTGCGGATATGCTAATGTATATTTTTCACAAATTGCAAAGAATATTTAAGCCTCATAGTCTCAGAAACCACAAGGCTAAGAGAGTTGATATACTACTATAGCATTTACCTTGGGCTCAGTTTTGGTCATGGCATTTTAGATTTGAAGTCCTTAATTTTCATTAAGTTGATTAAGAAAATACTAGTTATATTGTCTGCAATATTTCCTTTGATTTCGTGTTACAAGCAAACTATTTCAGCTAACATAAAGTTAATATATCGTTCATGAGCCATATGTTGTACAAGTGATGGTTTCTTGTTGCACTATGTCATTTCATTCATACTCACAAATGAAAGTCTTATGGTCAGATATCAAAACAATAATTATCATTGTAAATATTTCTAAGAATACTTCCTCTTTACATCAGTGATCCTGATTTTTGGCTGCAGTCACACAACTAAATCTTCAGATTTTCAACAGAAGTCCTCTTCACTGTCAACTACACACAACTAGTTGTTCCTGCAATAGCACCTGCAGCCTCGCAGCTCTTCTGTGAAAACCACACTTCTTTGCTGAGTGTGCTAGAGACAACACCTATGGTTTAGCTTACTATAGCATTTGGTTATGTAGCCTAGTAGTATAGGTAATGGTGATTCTGGCTCACTTCCTCTGGAGCTGGATTTATATACATATACTGCTACTACAGGTGGCATTTTTTATGCATAAATGACTATGCGATTCAACGATAGTCATGAGATTCAGCTAAATTGACTCTAGCTCATCACTACCTGGAGCCAATCAATGATACCATTAGTACAAAAACAATGATGAGACTAAACTAAATTGTAATGAAAATTTTTCGCTATTATTTTTACTAATACGTATACCATTATTTTTAACGAAGTGATACTCAACATTTTTACTAAGTTCTTCGTTCATTTTACTAGGAGACCAGACTATATACTCTTCTTGGTAATTGGAAAGAAACAATTGATGACCGTATTTGGTTGGTTTGACATCCCAAATATAATATATACCTTGTGGTAATTCTCTCCATTTGATAATTTTGTCCCTGAGCATAAATGTTTCAATAGCTTTTTCGAGTTCTTCCTTTGTTGGTTTGTAATTCTCCATTATTATATACTTACGTAAACATTCGTTTAAATGTGCTCTAATGATAGTAAGCAATCTATTTTTAATCTCCAACCAGTTCTTTGGTTTTGGCACGGAATAATTGACGCGCTTGTTGTCTCCCCTGTTCTATGAACTTTTTTTTCTCGTCTTCGCTAATACCACTGGTCTTACGAGATTTTGATCGAATCTCCTGCTTCATTACGTTGTATTTGTTGAGTTCCGACAGTACTAAACGAAACTCCTCCTCAGATATCTTACAATCAGCCTTTGCTGTTGAAATATGATCCTCAATGCTGTTCAACTTTGCTTCGGCGAGTATCCGAATATTATCGTGTTTTAATGCTTTCTTTTGCAACTTACGAGAAATGAATTTTATCGCTATTCCTGCCAGTCCTGAGACTCCGGCGGCTATTTGCATGCCAAGTACGATAGGCACGGCGATTATAGTTGATAGTAAACCAACACCGGCTACACCGAGTCCCATGCCAGCTGTTACAAGCGCGGTGTCAACTCCGTCCAGAGCATTCACGGCTCTGCGATACTTTTTATACAATCCAAGTCTCAACTCCCTCTCCTTCTCTATTCGATGTTTTATGTCGCCTATTTGATGTGATCGAAATCCATCAACAGTATCCATCTTTTCAAATGCCTCGTCGAGTGCCGGATATAAACTCATAGTGTATATTACGGTCATACAATAGTCTTTAATTGGTCTTGCTTAAATGTTTTGAGAGTATACATCAACCTTATCAAATGAATATTATTCGGCAAGAATATCTTAGTCGTCACTTTTAATAATTTGGACCCCCTCAAGGGTTGCAACGGGTGATGCTCCAATATGAATAATACTGCAACGTCAACGCTCGTGTTTCTTGAGCCATTTAATTGATAGACCTGGTAATATTTCGAAGGCATCTTCCGGTGCATCTCCGAACAAGACTTCAATAATAAGCGTAGAAATATTAGGTATTGCACTCAAGTTAACTTTAATATCATTGAATTCAGTAACCAAATTTAATCTAACATTTTGGACTGCCAGACGACTAAATAACATATGACCTGGGTCTTCTGGCAGGGGAGAGACTAACACACTTCTTAGTTTTGACGGGATATAAGTCGCGAGTACGATGCCACTATTTATTATCTTAGTTAAATTATGTGCCTTACCCATCATCACATACGGTGGGGTAATGACGATATTCAGTAGCCACTCGATGTTTGCTTCGACCATAGTCCATTTATTATCGTCGTTGAGAATAATATTGTATGCAGTGTTTTTAAGGAGTCTACTAACGTCGACATCGCTTAAATCTCGTAGATTACCTGTGAATGTAACTTCTTTCCGCTTGTATACATTATCTTGTAAGTGTAAAGCGTATAACTTACCATCGGTACCGGGTCTACCGAATCCTTCTGTGTCTCCGAGATCAGAAAGCGCAATTGTATTACATTGTCTGAGCGTTCCAGGGCCTGATGAATCAACCATTATTTTTAATATGGAGTGTTACACTCAAGTATCCTATATGTACAGGTTGGTGTTTTACATCTAATACAGGAATTCTGAGGTCTGAAATAATACCATGCTTTAATTTTTTATATTGTAATGATGAGAAAGAGTCCGTTCTACCGCTATTATCTTTTTCATCTTTGACTGTAATAGATCTGAGTAGAGTTGAAGGACTTTCTAGTTGAATATTATCCGTCGTACTGATTTGATCAAGATGGATGCACAACTCTTTACAGGGAACTAAATCGGGTAATGTATCTCCATCAAATGTTGACTTGATTAATGTTATATCTCCATCTGCAAATCCAAGTGTAATTGCTAAGTTCCTGTAAAGCTTTACATCCTTTTCTCCCGTGTTCAAAATCAGTATCCCATTCGACTCATTTTGTGTCAGACTAAATCCATTAGGCTTAAAAATTTCATCATTGACTGAGCATACGCTGTAATACCCATCAGGTATAATAATGTATTTTTCAATAACATTGCAAACTAATATATGTATCTTATTATTATTTCTCACATCATTTATATTGGTCCACCGCAGGTAATACGTTACATCGCATAGAGCGACTTCAAGTTGACCATCCGAGTTATTGATAGTATGAAGCAGTTGAATAGACTGACCATTTGTTATTCCCGGGAGTGTAACATACATATCAAATATACAATGATACTATATCATAACTTAAATATGAAATCAACTTATATTACTAAACAGTCGATTTAAGTAAGTGCTGCTGGTGCTGAGTTTATCGTTAAATTCCCTGATATCTTTGAAAAGTACAGGGTCACGGCAACTAGTGATAAAATGGTGCACGATTGGTTACACAATCCAATGCAATTTTGGCAGAATCAGTTAAACTTTGCCATATGGTGTGCCACAACGGGATGTGGTGTATCTCTTTATTCCCCAGGATTTGAACTAAATAAGTCTGTTATATCATTTCACGTGCACTATCAGATTAGACGTATACTTAAAGAAATTAGTGTGCCATTAACGCAGGATCGAGCATGGAATTCCTCAAATAATCTGTACAATAGGTTCACGTATGAGCGTATTTGTCAGGAATTTAATATTTCTACGAGTAAAGATTGGCGTATTAAAGGAGCAAACAATGGTCTAGGTGTTCCGTACAGCGGACAAAGAACTGTTAAAGAAGTTAGCGATGATTTAATTAAAAAAACTCATCAATCATTCAATCCATTTAAGTTGTTACAGAAAAATAATCTTTTTGTAAGATTGCATAATCTTAATCATGGCTGGGAACTTTCGAGTAACGATTGGAGAGGTTCTCTTATGAGTTTTAAGGGTGGTTAAACTTGGCAAAATTTAACGCGAGAGTCAAAGTCGATATAATAAATCCCAATGTGGTTAAAATACTAGCAATGGTAATTCCCTGTTCCCTGAACAATGTTTTAATTTTATCGGTCAGTGTAGTGTCATCGTTGAGGACTTGATCGATAGTTTCTCGAATTCGACTGATTTGTGAACGAAGTGCCTTTCTATTACTGGAAGCAGCCTCGAGGCAGGCCGATCTTTCCTCTTCTAAGTTACGCAATCTTTCTGCAATGCGACGTCTACTGATTTCATCACCCGCCTGTTCAAGTTTTGTTTTCTCATAAGCTATATGCTTGTTGATTTCAGATAGCTTGGCTATATTATTGATGAGTTCTCCCCGCATTGTTCGCATTGCCTTGTCAAGACCTCCTAATTCACTAATACTAAACTCTGAATATGGTACCTGTAACGTGGAATTATCGTAATAGGTATCCAAGATTTCTCCGAGTCCGTCTGAGGCCACCTTCAAGCTTTCTTCCAAATTATCTATGTTACCGAGTTCAGTACGCACAGTCCGAAGAACCTTAGTAGTCTTCACGGAAAGTTTTT